TTCATCGTGGTGTTTGTGGTTGGAGCTGAAAATAAAAATACAAAAAATAGTAAAAACAATGAAGGGAAAGATTAGAAAAAGAACCAGAAAAAAAAAAAAAAACAGAAACAAACATAAAACTAAGAGACAATTACAGGCCTTTCCTACATGCAGTTAAGAAAAATCTTAAACATTTTTTTACATATCCATACAGACTATAAAATCCGAATAAATGTTTACTGGGTGATTTGAGAAAATGCGACTAGCCAATCAGCGCAAAGCTGACAAGCTTATGTTGTAAACATAGCCCCCCGACAGGAGGAATTTGCACTGCAAAACTCGACCCAGTAGAGTAGGCTGCCTGTCATGTTATTCCATCTGAAAAATCGAAGCTAAAACGCGAAGAGAAATTGAAAATCTTTATAAAATAGCTTTTAAATGTCAATCAAATATTTATCGTTGTAGAAATAGAATTTTATCTTAAAAATGAAATAACAAATATTTTTTTCTTTAAGACAACGAGACTCCCCTCCCTGATAAAAATAATTGTTCTGTGTTCTGCGCGGGTTCTCCATTGCATGCGAAGCAATGGCCGACTTCAAGAAGACTTCAGAAGGTAATTGAAGCGACGTTCAAGTCCAAAGTATGTTTGGAGGAGACATTGCAAATCCTTTTTCTTAGCTCTTCATTGTTTCCTCTAAGCTTTGAGGTATCTACAACATTACTAGAAGAGCTAGAGCAGCTTAGCTCCACGTATTCCAATAGAGTTAAAGCGTTTAATATTTTTGGTACAAATCAACTGTCGTAGTTCACCCTTTGTCGCATTTTCGGCAATAAGCCGCAAGCGTGCTCGACGATTTGACGCTATGTAACAGGTCAGTTACACATTTACTAGCTTTGAACTTACTATACAACGAGAGCTAGAACGATGACTGGGGTTTTTCGTGAAATGTCTTGATAGCGACTGTTTATGTCGAAACGACTCAAAACAAAATTCCATCGTGAAAAAAGTTCCCTTCTGAAAAACACGTGTGTATTTAARGTGGAAAAATGTTTCATATGAGCATTCCGATACTTAAAGTTTTATTTCTATAATAATTTTGTTTAGTTATGTAAATAAATTCGGCACGACTTGAACTGTTTGTGTGAGTGAAAGGCGAGCTGCGGGTTTTCCCTTTTCTTTATTAACACTTTCAAATATGACCGCTTCACAAAAATGCACGGGCTCACTGGCTTACAACCTTGGCGAATTCATATGCAGGCCTGGTCGCAAATCAATCACCCAGTATCATATTCGAATAATCCCGATCTGTGTATATGAGCAAATCCATTCATAAGCAGATTACAAAAGAAAATATACTGACCCTTCCCCTCCACAGTAGTCAAGGAAACCTCTTCACTTTTAGGTGTTGTTCTGGTTGTTAGAGCCCCCAAGGGCTGCCCCACTTGGACAGTTCCATTGTAAGCAACAACTGTCATTTGTACGTAGCAAGTGTAGTCTGTACCTGCTCTAACATCTTCGTTTTTAGTCTATTGAACACAAAGAACGAAT